AACTGATTGCTGCTAGATGAGGAACAGCTGACCTTCCTAAAACAAAGACCTCTAGATAGGCTGACTAGATTCACCAGATGGACAAGTAGTGGGAAACGGCTGGGTGTGCCGACAACACAGCAGACAGTAGCAGGGATATCAGAGTATAAGGGCTCTAGTTGGAAGAGGGAGGCTATGGGAGGGTGCCATCTGGAAAGTGGGTGTATAGTTGAATAAGATGGTTTGGGATGTTCTGTGTGACACACACACACACACAAAATCGACGAATTTTGAAAAATGTAGTATATTTGAGGAGGAAGCATGGAAATTTACGTCATGTAATAATTAGTAAAGGTGATAAACATTACCACTGAAATCTACTGATGACTTTATAGACATACACAGGCGCCAAGGATCCAAGTGCAACCGATTACGACTAGTAACAATCAGATACATACTGATTACAGATGCATGTGCCAACATCTCAGTGTTAGTAGCAAAAAAATGAGTCTTTCTGCAAGGAACAATATATTCTAAAATGAAATGGAGATCTTTTTTAAAGGTTAAAAACTCATTCAATTCTATGTCTTACAGGGCTTATACTGAGTTCAATATTGTATAACTGTATTAATTTGACTGTGATCCTAGAAACTTACAGCCACTTGTAAAAGAGATGTGCTCTTGCTCTGGAGTGTGTTTGTTAAAACTGTAATGAAATACTTCTTCTAATCATGTAGTTTAAATTTAAAAAACCAAAAACTCATTCAATTTTATATCTTACAGGGCTTATACTGAGTTCAATACTGTGTAACTGTATTAATTCAACTGTGAACCTAGAAAGTTACAGCCACTTGTGAAAGTGATGTACTCTTGGTCTGGAGTGTGTTACTGAATATGTTACAGCTGTAATGAAATGTTTCTTCTAATCATGTAGTTATTAAAAATTTAAAAAAATGATTAAAAAAAATTCTTATTTGACTTCTAAGCAGCACATAATAGGATTCATTTCTTAACTCCTGCTCTTACTAAAATGGTTTTCTCTTGGCTTCTAAGTTACCTTATTTCCCTGACTTTCTCCAAGTGTTAATAGTCACTCTGCTTAGGTTAAACCTGTTCCTAAGTTAGGATTTGGAACTGTAATCATAAAATTTACTCTCACCCTAACCTTTCCACTGTTCTTGCTATGTAACCCTGGCTGGCGTGGAACTCACTGTGTAGAGGGGCTGCATTTAAATTTGTGGTGATCTTTCTGCCTCTGCTTCTCCAATGCTGGCATTACAGACATGAACCACCATATCATATCTGGTTCATCATTTCCTTTCATATGCTCACTATCTAATATTGTACCTAAGAAAAAGAAGGTTTTAGAGACTAATTATGACACAACTCAATGGTATAACACTTGCAAAATAAACCTAAGAGCAAAACCATCAGGCTTCTGACAGGTACCTGTAAACCGAGCAAAACTAACATCTGCTTTATTTTTAATTTTTATTACATTTATTGACTGATTGATATGTGTGTGTGCCAGAACACACTTGTGCATCACAAGATAATTTGTGAGAGTTGGCACTTTTACCATGTGGGTTCTGGGAATCAAAGTTAGGTCATTATTAGGCTTGGCAATTAGCACCTTTACCCTCTGAGCCATTTTACTGACCCAACGCCTGCTTTATTTTTAGTTAAAAAAAATTTATTGTTTTATTATTTCTATTTTATCTGTATGAGTGTACATTGGCTGCATGTATGTAAGTATGCCCACGGAAGTCAGAAGAGGGCACTGGATTCCCTGGAACTGGAGCTAAAGATGGTTGTCAGCTGCCATGTGGGTGCTAGGACTCAAACCCAGGTCTTCTGCAAGAGTAGTCAATGTTCTTAACCACTGTGCTATCTTTCCATCATCTATACCCCAACTGAACATCAATCCAACCTTTCAGAAGTATCAATTTACAAAGCTAAAAGTTGGTATAAATTTGAAAATGAATAAAAGAAAATAAAAATGGTACTTGAGGCCTTACAATGATGATCTGTGATGACTTTTTTGTGTGCGTCTATAAATAAATCAGAAAGTTTCTTTCTTTTTTTTTTTTTTAAGAGTGTCTTACTATGCAGTCCTGCCTGGCCTTGAACTTGCATCTCAAAGATCCATCCACTTCTGCCTCCTCAGTGTTGGGATTAAAGGCACATGCCATCATGCCTGGCTAAAACAAATAATTTCTATAAGATGACAGTTATTTAACATTTCCCAACACAGATTCTTTGTCTTCACTCAAAGAAATGGTAAAACTAATATAAAGCCAAAATGTGGGTAATGGGAAAGCAGCATAGAGAGAACTGGGCAAGGATTTCTTTAATGCAATTCTTATTAATTTAATCTTATTACAAGGGTTGGCAAGATGCCTCAGAGGATAAGAGTGCTTTGCCAAGTCTAACGACCCAAGTTCAATCTCTGGAAGCTACATGGTGGAGAGATATGGCTCCTACAAGATGTCCTCTAACTTCCACATATATGCCATGGCACCTGTGCACCCACACACCCACACATGCAAAATAAATGAATAAAATAGCAATTTTTATAAAGAATTGTGCTTAAAGAAAATTCCAAAGTAAGATTTATTTATTCCTTAGCTAATATGTAAATGCATCAGGACTTGGATAAGGAAAAAGGAAAATCAGAGAAGACAATGAATAACCAAGGGAAAAAGCTCCATTTCTTAGTTTTAACTACGTATTTGGCACAACCTACCTACTACTTTGATAACAACTATATATGGTCATGTGTTAACTACTTCCATTGTTTCACTAAGGCTTGGCTCGCATTACACTTTTTAATTCATGTAGTTTAACTCCATCCTATGAGCCAAACATCAATGGCTATACTAGGGTTTGAACCTAGGGTTTCAGACATGCTGAGAGCAAGTGTTTTGTCACTGAGCTACATTTTCAACTCAAGTCTGTATTTTTTTTTTAAAAGGCCTTATAAGTGAAAAATTTTAGACCTCCGATTTATATGATATTATAGATAATTAACCCCTGAAGTCTCATATGGTAATTACATAAAGCATTACTATGCATAAAAGATGTGTATAAAGAGAAGAATATCACTAATACTAGAAGAATCGAGTACAAAACAACTCACCTGAGTATAGAAGCCACTAGCTGCCTCTAGGAACAGAGAAAGGTTTGCCTGAACTTCACTCCGATTCGGGTTTGCTCGATTCTTTGCTTGGCCTTGTAGTGTTGTGATCTGATTCTTAAAGGCATGATTCCAGCTGAAAACAAAATTTAATTCTATTTGGTATAGTAGTGACTCACTGGGCAGACACTGGTCCCCCTGAGAACAAGAAAGAACTGTTTGTTATAATCATACCATACCAGATAGTAAACTAGCTTTAAAGTTATCCATTTATTTAAATAACTTCATGCTTTTCTTTGAACAAGACTAGACATGTAGTAGAATCCAACTGACCTTGGTAGACACTTACCAAAGTTTGAATAACCAGATGGTGGCTTCAGCTATTGACCTTTTAGAGCTACTTAGTTAGAGCCTATTTAGAAATCCCAGTACAAATCAGAACTACAGTGGTAAGATCAAAGTAAACAAACTATTAACAAATTTCAATACTAGTGTCAAAAATAATTCTATCCTATTCAAGTGACACATTGGAGGGGGGCTTTATACATATTAAGCTCTCTTTTATTTTCCCCAAAAGTTATTACCCATAGCATTCATTTGCATTTTGATTTAATAATTGTTTATCTTGGTTAAGGTTTAACTCTTTATAATACAAAATACAAGCCACAGGTCAATTTTGATTATTTAAACAACACAATGCTGAAATACAGCACACCAAAATCTTGTTACAAAATGTCTTCCTTTCATTAATCAAGTTATATAAATTAGTTTAAGTTCAGGAAATAGGGTTCCAACAATCTACATCAAATTTTGAGGCTTTAGAGCTTTACAATTTAAAAAATAATTTAGGGAGTCAGTCAATATTCCCTAATATTGTCAATGGTATCTTATAACAGACTCAAATATCACAGACATGAATTATGGATTGGTTGCTATTCTGTCTTATTACTAGATTTCCTAAATTATAAGGCATAAAAGAAAAACATAGAAGGAAAAAATAATCTCTATCAAACTCAGAGTATCAGGCATTACAAGATATGAGATGGAATATTCTTAACTGATTTTTAAATTTCCATCAGGTTAATTTTCCCAGCTTTAATTTATAAGGTAACATCTTCCACAAAGGCCTTTATTTACTCACTCAGGAATCTGGTTATCTGCCATTTCACCCTTCATAGCAAGAACAAGTGGAATAGCCTAAATACACAATATCTTTAGTTTAGGGGGCGGCAGGGGGAAGAGGAAACAGCAATGTATTTGACTAAAATGGACTTTGCTTACAATGCAAATACACTTTCCTGTTGAAGAAGCAGAATCACATTGATCATCATTTCTCAGCCTTTTGGCTAAGATCAAGTGTAGAATCATCATGATTTAAATATAGGACTCAATACACACTCTTAGCACTTGAAATACATACATACATATATATGTTTGTATTTATTTATTCTAATATGGTCTGAAAGAGCTGCCCTTAATAAAATTCCACTCCAAACATTTCTCCTCCGCTCTTCAAAGATTAAACCTGAAAAAACCACTATAATGGTCAAATATTTTGTTTAAAAAAAAAAAAAAAACACCCCATAAATATCACAATTTCTTTGAAAAAGCTTAGTCTGAATTAGATTAAAAAACAACCAACTACCAAAATGTGTTACAGTCTTGGTGAGACTCCTGATCTTATAGGAACATCTCAAATGATAATACTTACAGATCCTGTTCTACTTTCTTGTCTAAAGCGTATTCCAAATCAGTAACTAGCATTTTCTGGTACAAGTCCTGCAGAGCCTGCCTGGATGTCCAGACCTCAGCTGGACCCAGCTTAGAATCTGCATAACAAAACAAAAACAGAACACCACATCAGGTAAGACACTTAATCCATAAACCACACTAGTGATTCCTTCCCTCTCCATCCCTCAATGCAAATGTGCTCCACCCATTGCTGCGTTAAGTTTTGTGTTACTCTATTCCAAATGACTTTCACCACCTTTGATCTTCTAGCTCATAACAGTTGGTTTAAAATATTTTTGTATTTGTCTTAACTTTTTCCTTTAAACTCTCTCTCTCTCTGTGTGTGTGTGTGTGTGTGTGTGTGTGTGTGTGTGTGTGTGTAGCATATATGTGCACGTATGGTATCTGTACAAGTGTGTTGGTAGGTGCACTGGGCAGGGAGACAAAGGAGGGCACTGGATATTCTTTTACCACTCTCCATCATGTTCTTTTGAGGCAGGGTCTCACTAGGCTAGTAGTCTGCTAGTCCCAGGGATCTTCATGTCTCTGCAACCCCACATCCTCTTTTAGTGCTGACATTACAGATAGGCCCAGGACTATTTTACACATGGGTGCTGGGATCTGAACATTGGTCTTCATGCTTCTGCAGCAAGCACACTTAACTGCTGAGCCATCTCTCTAGCCTTTGTCTTTCAGCTTTAAACTAACACTGTGAAATGAATATGGTTACCTTAAAAAAGTTCACCCTTTGCTTTTGATTTGGATTCTACCTATCGTATCACATTTACCCTCATAACTGTATCTTTGTCCCTATCATTTTTCCTTTTTATTCTGAATCATTCCCAGGATCCTTACAAAATTCTATCAGCTCACCATCTAGCAGCTGCCTGGGTTATTCCTACTTTATCATAATAGTCAACCCAATAAAAACCACAACAGTGAGAATTATTTTAATGACTAGCACACTGGTATCCAAGGCACTTTGTAAGCAGTCCATATTACCCATTTAATGTTAAGAAGGGCTGGTAGAAGCCTGGAATTAAACTCCTCAAAAAGTCAGTCAAGTGACTAGGTGCAGGGTAAAATCAGAAAGTCAAGCTATGACTATGTGTATTGCAGAACTGGGGCCATACTTTCTGCCAGAGTTCTGCAGGGCTTGAACAGTTAAATGCTGATCGTAAGCTACCTCAGTAGAAAAAAACTCAATAATGGAATATGTATTTCCAATAACCAGTAAAGCAATTTAATTTCATTTAGCAGTTTGCTGCTGTACAATGTTGTAATTTCAACTCCACTTAAGGTTGGCTATCAGTACAGATAAGCCACCATAATCCTATTTTACAAACAGCTTCCTGGATATTTCAATTAACATTTGAGTTTGCTGGCTAGTAAGAATGAAGTCCAGTATCAGCTTCTTGATACCAAGTTTTCTGTTTGTTTCTTTTGAGATGGGATCTCACTGTGTAGTTGAAGCTAGTCTGGAACTCACTATGAGCCCAGAGCCTTGACCTTGTGCTCCTCCTGCCTTCACTTCCCAAGTGCTAGGATTACAAGCGTGTGCCACTACACTAGGTTTTCTCACCAAGTTTTAATTATTAGTAGATTTATAGATTTACATAGCCATGCTTTAATTGTTGTCAAGAAAGGAGACTGTAAGAGATCATTCAAATGAGTAACTTAAATGTAGTCTATGTTTTGCAAGTGTTCAATACTTAGGAAAAAATGGTATACATGGCTTGATGTTGCAACATGTACCATTTATGTCACAAGATACAGATTATACTTCCAGTGCCCATTCAAGAGTGTAATTCAGAGCTGGATGTGGTGGCTCATGACTATTAATTCAGCACTCTGAAGGCAGAGTCACGTCTACTTAATGAGTTCCAGGCCAGCTGGGGTTACATAGTGAGACCAGGACTCAAAAAAGAAAAACAAAACAACAAACCCCCAAACCACAAATAACCCCTGGGTGTGGTGGCTCACTTCTTTAATCTCAGCACTCCAGAGGCAGAGGGAGACAGATTTCTCTGAGATGAGGCCAACCTGGTCTACATATCGAGTTCCAGGCCAGCTTGGGCTTCTGGCAGACTGTCTCAAAGAAAATAACACAAAAAGTGTTTCTGACACTTATATAATGGACAATGATCACAGACTTGTTAATGGGAAGAACTACAGTTCTGTACTCTTAAGTCTTTCCCTCCTTTTGTCTTGTTCTTTAATATGATAGTTAGGTTGCTTATAAATGTTAGCCTATAACTCTAAAAAACTGAGGAAAAACCACCTCAACAGTATATACCCTTTTCAATTGCAAAGCTTAGCCAGTATGACGTTTATCAACAGCAGTTGAACTCTTCTTCGTGGATTTTATTACAAAACTCAATCCCTCCCAAATCAGAATACAATCTATTATCAAAAAGCTTTCTCCTGATACTTTAGGACAATGTGCTCTATTATGGAGGACATACTGATCACTGTATAGTTATTACCATATAGTTCTTAAGTTATCTGTTCTTTTCAGTGGGTAAGTCCAAGAATTCTTCCCAAGAGGCTTCAACTATTATTCAAAGCAGAAAAGGTATGTGAGAAAAAATAGCTCACTGAATTTCATAGACCTTCAGTAAAGTTTCACTATAAATTTTTTTTTTTTTTTTTTTCTGAAGGTTTACCTACTACTCAAGTTTGGGACACTATAAATTGGAAAATAACATTTTTCCAGGAAAAGATTAGCAATAATCCAAAGTATAAAAACAATAAATATTTAAAGCAAATACTAAGTTATTATTACTTTAGGCAATCAGCACAGGAATTTAATGCTACACCTAATATAGGAAAGATAATTTCCTTCCATTAATAGTATAAAATAAGTTGTGAAAAAGAAGTCAGCCAATACCTGTCATGTCAGCCTTCAGGACTTCTGCCTGCCTACATAAGAAAAGAAAGAGCATCAGTTAAAAACAAACCAAGCCAAATTAACATAACACTTAACTATCAAGTGCAATAAAATATTATAAGGCTATATGGTAGTTAAACTTGTACCCTGTTGTAGCATCCAGGGTAGCACTGGGTCTGGACAAATTAAAGTCATTCCTTTAACATTTATAGGTTATTCAGTGACTTCTGCAAAATAGGTTTACTTTCTTGCTCTTCTCCAAATTTGACTTTAAAAATAACATTAAACTAAGACTTTTCCTGGATGCCTTGAAGAGGCTCTTGTTTCTCAGTTTACTAGTTACCACCACCGTTTTGAATTTCCACTCTCCTCAAGCTGCTGGTTCATATCCCTCCGCTCTGAGCAGAGAGTTCCTGCTATTGGTGTATTCACCACACTTACACAGCCCTCTCCTTACTAGACCAACTTTCACTTCAGTGGAATGCTCTCTAACATTTAAGGACCTGTTCATTTGATTAATCCCTCCTCTTTTGAAAATCTTGAAACTTCTCTTGCTACTGGACGTTTTCCATTTCTCTGGCATTCAAAACACTCAAGTCTCTCATACATTTTAAATCTTTTCTCTCTCTGAAATTCTTCAAGAATCGGGCTAGAGAAAGGGCTCAGGGGTTAAGAGCACTGGCTGTTTTTGTAGAAGACCCGGGTTTGAATCCCAGCACATACATGGTGGCTAACAACATCCTCTAACTCCAGTTCTAGGGGATCTGATGCCCTCTTCTGTTCTCCATGGGCACTGCATTGCAAGACATGGGTTACATTACATACATGCAGTCAATACACTCAAACACATAAAATTAAAAATCAAAAAATTAAAAAAAAAAGATTTGCCTATATTCAAGAGGTTCAAAACTGAACTCAATGACCCAACTTCAACTCCAACACCTAGTGTTTTTTCACCTTAGCAAACATATCATGCCTTTTCAACTGGTGGCAAAACACCTCAGAAATATTTCATGACAACCTTCTTTGAAAACCCTAATCTTTACCAATTTCAGAGGCATGTTATCCTCACCTCACAGGGAGGATACTACAAATGAATGCTCACTGCATCACCTCTTTAGTTACACTGCAAGTTATACCCATCCTGTACCTAAACTACTGTAAAGCTATGAAACTGTTTCGTCCATTTCACTCTTATCTCCCACCATTATCAGAAGGATATTGTAAAAAATGCATGGTTGGTCTTACCAATTGTTTATCTGAGTGATTGCTCACTACAAAACCTTTACAGACATGACCTACAGAATTCTGTAGTTTCAGAACTCTCAGTACTCTGTGCACCTTGATCTAAAAGGTCGGTCCATCACTGGACTAAGGAACTTTGGAAAAGGAGAGTCCCTGTGCTAGGAATACCACCTCCCCCTTTATTGGCTAATTAGCACTTATCCTTTGTGCGCCTGAGTCAGAACACTACACTTCCTTGAAAAACCTGTCTAGTTAAGGACATTCTCTACATATGCTTCCAAAGCTACTTCACGGTAGGTACCACAGTTTTTAAGAATACATACCACCAGAATCTTTTTTTCTAGTAGCATAGTGTTTTGTTCATGGCAGAAACTCAAGAAACATCTCTTTCGTTCTCCTCTCCTCCTCCCCCCTCTTTTGAGACAAGGTCTCACTATATAGTTCAGGTTGACCTCTAAATTGAGGTCCCCTGTCTTAATCTTTCCAGTCCTAAGAGGCATGTACCACCATGTCTGGCAATAAACATTTTTCCTAATGAAGAAAGGAAAAAGGTAAATCATGTTCATATTCTCTATTTAGTCCTTGAAGTTGAGCAGAAGAATGGTTGCCAGAGGTTGAAGAGAGTAAGGGGCAGGGAATAAAGAGATACTGGCCAATGGATATGAATGTAAGAGTTAGGAAGTTATAGTTCTAGTATTCTGTTCTATAGAAGAATGATTATGGTTAACAATAATGTACTGAATATCTAACAGCTAGAGAGGTGGATTTTGAATGTTGTCTCCATAAAATGATATATCTACAAGGTGAGGAACATGCCAACTCTAACATATGTACTGAAACATCATATGCCCCCCTTATGTATGATTATGTCAACTAAAATCAAAATTTTAAAAGGCAATTATAGCAACTTGAGATATCCATTTCATAAAAGCTAGAAGAATATTAAGGTTCTAAAATGTTTACTGAAGTACTATTTTACATAAATGATTAGGCATTTTAAAGCAACTGCAAATTTTAACTTTATTAAAGTGCACAGTGAATCCTTTTATTCATTTAGTCTTTACAACGGTATTTGTTTGGGTTTTTTGAATTAAGCTATTGAACAGCATTATAGTAAATGTTAGCACATGAGAACTACCAATACAAATGAATCATACTAAAGAGCTAACTATCTTTAGTCCCCAAATGTAGTATGTCAAATCCCATCATCTATACAGCCCAGTTTTACTGATCACTTTAGGTCTTAACTTTCACCATTAAAAATCATTTTTTCACAGTCATTGGCATGACCTTAAAAAACCCCAGATCATACAATCTGACAGCACACACCACTTACCCTCCCCCTACCAATGTCACAACTTCCCTTTCTTTTACCAAAATGGAACACTCTCCTTTCTATGACGTCTGAAGCTTTCCTTCTAAAGGAAAAAAAAAAAAAAAATCATACTATACTTCTAATTCTACTGGTTTTGATAAAGACCTTTAACGAATCTACATTACAGTTTATAGTTAATGCTCAAATAGAGACAAGTGCCCCTTAAAAGAAGAAAAGAAAAGAAAAAAAAAGAGACAAGGTCTCACTCTGTAGCCTTCACTGGACTGGAACTCAATGTGTAGGCCATCTAGTCCAGAACCCACAGAGATCCACTTGCACCTGCCTCCCAAGTGCTGGGATTAAAAGGTCTGTGTTACCACACCCAGCTAAGACAAGAGTCTAAATGTTTTTCTCTAGTAAAAAGTGTGAGCAACTTGAGTTTTTTCTTCTTACTTTAAAGCTGAAAGAATTAAGGAAAAGAATTAATAAACTGGGGCTGGAGAGATGGCTCAGTGATTAAGAGCATGGCTGCTCTTGCAGAGGACCAGGGTTTGGTTCCCAGCACCTATATGGCAGTTCACAACTGCCTGTTAACTCCAGTTCCAGGGGATCTGAATCCCTCTTCTGGCCTCTGTGGACAGGAGGCACAAACTCAGGACACATACATGCAAGAAAAACACTCATATACATTAAAACAAAATCTAAAAATTAAGAATGAGTGAACCAAGAATCCAAAAATCGAATCACCATGCCCTTCATTAAAAAACTTTCCAAATGTTGTATGTATTGTCTTTGAGCTTTCTGTTTGTTTTGTTTTTTATTGAGACAGGGTCTTGCTATGTAGTTCAGGCTGGTCTTGAACTTCCATGACCATCTTGCCTCAGTCTCCCCCAAGTGCTGAGATTACAAATGTGCTACCACCCTCAGTAGCACTTCGTTAATAAGAGAAATAAAGTATGACTATTAAGCAATAAAAAGGAAAAAAATTAAAGGGATGAAAAAAACTGGAATAATCAGTGAGAAATATGTTGAAAGCTAACAATATGAAATAATTCTCATGGAGTCAACATAAACACCAAGATCTGTAAATACATATAATGCATCCTAAGCACTAGCTACTGTAAGACACTGTTCTAAGGTCCTTACATAAGTAATCATTTAACTTATAACCCAAGCATATTGGGGTTAAGTAGCATGCCCAAGGTCATAGAGTTAAAAGTAAAGTTTGAACTCAACAGTTTGGCTCAAGCTCCTTATCATTATACGTGAGTCCCTGAGTATGACAATATAATTCACAAATGCTTGAACTGGGACACATAAAATGAGATTCCTTCTACCTGAACTCCAGATCCATTTTCTCTGTAGAAAGAATTCAGAAATAATCCTAAACTTGCAGCTATCTAAACAAAACAAAACACCACCACCACACACAACACACACAACAACACACATATAACAACCACCACATCAATAAACCACTTTCTTTTATTGGGGAGAAGTGTCTAGAGTAGTTTTTTTTCCTCCTTCCACCAAGCAAGAGCCATCTATGTTTAAATTTGTCATCTCGCTCACTTGCTTCCATACAGTTCTAAGAGCAACTGTGGTAATCACAATATTCATCAATTATAGTCACAAATCTAAAAACCTAATCAAAATTATATGCCAAATAGTAGGCCAGACATTTTAAGGTATAAATATGTACTTACGAACACACAGAAATATGTAGAGCTCTCCAAAATATCAGCAAGTTTCCTAGTACTATCCTGACTGGAGGAGGCTATATCCTACTGCTGTACTGTTGAATTTCATTTAGAAAAGAGACTTTAAAAAAGGAGAGAGACTCTAGGGATGATGTTGTTACTTAGAGTTCTCAATTCATGTTAACAAAAACAGAAATTTACTTTCTTTCTGTAGTACTTTACAGTGTATAAAACCTCCAAACACTGCAACATGCTGTACTATAACCTTGACTCTGCAGCCTCTATTCTTTTATTATGTATACCCTGTTTTGTAAAGGGTCATTCTGATATGAGAATGTCAAGAATGAAAGCAAAGAAAAACAAAAAAAGCAAAGCTAGGTCAGTAAGACAGACTGAAGGATAAAATGCAAGGTCAAAAGCCATATATGAAGCTGGAGAATCAAGGAAGACAGCAGATTTTGAGAAGCTTTCCATGATGTGTCAAGAGTTCAAATGCAGCCCTTTTATAGAAAATCAATGCTGAATTTTAAGTAAGGGTAGCATTGTTAGATTTACCTTTTTAAAAGATCACAAGATATATGAAAGATGAATTTTCAAAGGTCAAGACTGGTAACGAGATAATGATAATACAGCTATGTGAAAAACTCATATCCAAGAAATATCCAGAAGTTAAACTAGCAGAAGGGGATATGATAATAAGGAACAAAGAATCTAAAATCACTTCCAGAATAGTCAGCCTGGACAGCTAGGTCCTTGAGAAAGCTCAAGTTTGTAGGGAGACACATGGAGATGAGAGCTGCTACAAAGAATAAGTAAGATGAAGTTTCACAAAAGCGCCCAAGGGACCCCCTCAAAGCTTTCGGCGATCGGGTGGGCTGATAGGGTGTCTCTTTCCCCTCCTGCTTCATGGACTCTCTTCTGAAAGAGCACAATGAGTTGAAGACAACAGTTCAAGGTGGTAGTCAAAAATCTTAGTCTTCTACCACCGCATAATGAGAAGCAACAGACAACAAGCTATTTAAATGTCTTGAGTTCTGTTCATTTGAATGAACACAAAGAACCAGTACATTCTTAAAATGAACACAAAATAACATCAGAGACGAATACAGAGAAATTACAAAAGAACTGAGTCAGAATGTTACTGCTTAATTGGCATCTGATTATTTCACGAAGTTTAAAAAATTGGGAACTGATAACACATCAAGCAAACTATAAACTATTGAATACCATGCTAGGGGGCTGGAGAGATGGCTCAGTGGTTAAGAGCACTGGCTGTCTTGCAGAGGACTTGGGTTTGGGTCCCAGCACCCACATGGCGGCGAAGGACCATCCCTAACTCCAGCACCTGGGGATCTGACACCCTCCTCTGACCTCCATGAGCACTGTATGACACAGATGCACGGATATACATGTAGGCAGTACACTAAACACATGAAATAAAAATATGAAATGCTGACAGCTGATTCTAAATCTATCTGTTAACCAACAGCTTAATAATATAATAGTTTAATAATAATATACATTTAATAATGTATTATTTGCCAGGTCTTGCTTTCATCTATTATAAAATCTCTAAATTTCACCAGGTATAGTGATACAATGCTTACAATACCAGCAGTCAGGAGGAGGAAGAGAAGTATGAGGTCAGCCTGAGCTACATGTTAGGTTCAAGGCTAGTTTTAGCTACAGAGCAAGACCCTATCTCAAGAAAACAACCAAACACCCAACAAGAACAAAAACAGGGATGGGTATGTAGCTCAGTGGCAGAGTACTTGCTTAGTAGCACTCCACTGAAAACAACTTTAAATCTTGGTTATTCTATCAGGTAAGTAGTATGTATGCACATTTTGTTGATAAGAAAATTAAGGCAGAGAGGGTTTTCTCAGTCACAAAATTAGAAAGTAGCAGAGCTTGAGTTCCCCATCAATGCAGTTCTAGAAGCAGAGCTCATAAGCATTAAAAAATAAAGCAGGTTTTTTGAAACAAACTAGCTCTAGAATGTCACTATCACAGTAGCAACTTAAGAGGGGCAGCTATCACAACATCTGGTACTACTCAGACATGCTACATCATTACGAATATGCTATAGCAAGAGTTACTAATACATTACTATATATGTAACAGGAATTTTCTTTTACTCTAAATGTCCCTATGCTTATACAGATACCATACACCTAAGCATACAAATTCCTTTATTTCAGTACATTAAAAAAATGTTTCCTTGGACTATAAGGAATCAATGCTCATGTCACAGTAAACCTATGCTTAAGTTCTTATAAAGCCATGTAAGTAAAACAAAAGAAAAAGAAAACAATCTTCAGTATATCCTTTCCCCATCTGAACCAAAATCAAATCCTCCAAAAACTCTCAAATTCTTCTATTAATGGTCACAGAATATGAAAACCTTTAACATATAATCTCTAAAATGAATAACAATGTAGAAATCCCCTGTAATTTTTATCCTACCTAATATTATTTGATTTCAGATGCTCCTCTGATTTCAAGTTTTCGGTCCTCATCTGGGACTTAAATGAAACGTTCTCTCTCACAATGACTATCTGCAAGAACATCCAAATTTTCACAAGGTTGAATGGCTTAAGACACTCTAGATAGAGAGGAGGAAAATATGAGTTAACACAGAAACAGAATAACCGCCCCCTACCCCGGAAAAATTATTTATTTACTTGAAATGACCTAATGCAAAAGGCAAAGGAAAAATAACAAAGTTTTTTTTTTTTCTTTTTATAGTTTCTCAGAACACACTTTTGAAAATTGTTTTATACTTTTTAACAGATTTTGGTTTTAGACCCAGAATGCTGCCCTCATGTGCTTCATTGTGTACAAGCTGAGTGATCCCTAAAGGACAGACATCAAGGATCTGAAGGACCAAGAGGAGAATACTCTGGTATAACACAGAAACAGACAGACTCGAGCAAAAGAAAACTCTATAAAACCACAGCTATGGATGGTAAAATATTTAAATTTGAAAATCAGCTGAAGTCAGCTTTATGTTTTTTAGATTTCCACTGTGTCACTGGACATTACTTGGTCATTTTAATGTGTGTGAAACTGCATTAAGGACAGAATATACAATGACAAAACAGATAATGGTCCTTGCTAGGGATTTAACATTCAATATAGAAATAAATCAATAAAGAAGCAGGTAATAGAAGGTAGGGGGTTTAGGAGTCATATGCCATCTCTTACACCAGAGAGTAAGGTACAGGGAAAACATGACAATTTCCTAGGGATATTAATTCAAAAGATTTGGGTAAAGCAAGTAAGCTATTGGCTATTATTTCCCATTGATAATTATGTGCTAGACACTTACTAAATACTCTCTACATATGATCACACAGAATGAGAGCAGATAAGTCTGGGTTGAAACCAAACTCTGCTATTTGCTAACCATATAACATCAGTTGAATCACATCTCTATGCTCTAGTTTATTTAGAAGATGGAGATACTTATATAAACTATCTCACTGACACACTGAGGATTAGGGAAAGAATGAAAGCAATCATTACTATTGGCACTGAAAAAAAAGTTACCCATTACTGCCACTATCATTATCACTTACAGTTATTACAACTCCCAAACATCCAAAAATGTAAATGTTATTATTTTCATTCTACAAATTAGGAAATTGAAGCTAAGAACTCATACCAATCAATTTTAGAATAGAACACGAAATTTTTAATAACTGCAGTAATTTTTAACAAAAAATATGTCAAAACAACTTCAAGCATGCAGCAGGGGACTTTATTGTCATACTTTCAAAGCATATGATCATAGAAAAGAACAAGATGAAGCACCTTATGATGCATCACAACTTCCTTAACTTCCTTGGCATAGCATGACTGAACAGCTTTGACTTTGATCCAGTGAGCCTCTATGACTCTTAGTTTCTTGCTTTTTGCCTCTTGGTATCTGTATCTTTATTCATGATCTTTCACTCAATGTGGAATGCACTCCTATTATTTTCCTCTTTGACTGGTTAACTCATTCTTGGACTTTAAAACTGGGCAACTCCTGTAAGAGGCTCGGTTTGGCAGAGTACTACTGTGTGTCTGCACATGCAGTTTCACTAAAGCACTTCAACACTACAAAGAAATGGTTGTTCATCATGTTTCTTCCACTATGAAGACTGTCCTATTCACTCTGGTATCTATTTGGTGCCGAGCACAGTGCTTACCACACAATTTATTCAAACTTGGGTCTAGAGAGATGGCTCAATGGTTGAAAGCACTGGCTGCTCTTGCAGAGGACCTGGGCTCAATTCCTAGCACCCACATGGCCACTAACAACCAGGGGAATCTGATGTCCTTACACACATGCAGGCAATACACTCATACAATTTTTTAAAATTTACTCAAACGTACATCAATTTGGACAGTGTCTCAATTAAAGGTCAAGATCCTAAAAATTTAGAGTTTCTCAAATCTTGGTAATAGTTTCCAGATATCATTTTATACAATCAATTAGAGAAACATAATCATTTACTTGGCTCTCTAAAATCCTGATTTTCATCATTGTGGGATCTATTTGGTATATACTGAACACTAAATATTTCTACAAAAAATTAAAAATCTGAGACTACAAGTTCACTAATCTACATAATTAAACAAGAAATTTAGATTAGGCAATAATCAACAACCAGAAAGCAATTTCTTATCTCAATTTTTATGATATAGCAGAATGGTCCCCCCTCCCCCTTTTCCCTTTTTAAGTAGGACGCTGTATCTTCAGTATATAATGCAGGGTGAATTGGACAGAAAGGTAGATTATAACATAGTCTAACTTTTGAGATATATTCAAGAAGCTTTTCCAGCTTCTCTCAAGGAGTTAAAGAAAGAAACATGCTCACCTGCTTCCTATTTGCTTTTGCAAAGGTTAGCCTCTTTTCCTTTTGTCAACAAAACATAAACAGGCAACAAGAAATGAATGCTTATTACTCAGAAAGTATTTGTGCTGGCTGTTAAGAGCTATATTCCCTTAATTTCCCCCTAGGACTACAACTAACAAAATCCCTCTTAGATTTCTGAGAGTGCTGCTTTCTGAACTAACACAGGCCTCTTTACCTCTACTGAACAATTGGTTTTCAATTTGCCTTAAAAAGAAAAAAAACCCTCAATTCTCTGTAGCAACCCCATTCCCAATATAGATAATACAAACTATTCAGTACATTCAAATGAATAAAAATATCTCACAAAAGAAAAAGACATAGAAAGCAAATTATGATATAACTGGAGAGAAAAGATTACCTTAGATGACAATAATGAAGTAACGAGATGTTTGTACGTATGTGTAACAGAAATAGGTAGGGTAAACAGAATTCCAACAAAGATATAAAATGAAAGAAAGAGTAGGTAGAATTTAAAGTACTGCTAATATAGGCTGTAAGCGGCCAGAGCTACTAGGAAATGGTAAGGATGAAGTGAAAACTGAAAGGACAGCACCACAAGATGAAGCACAACCACTCAACGGAAGAAAACAGGTCAGGAAGACTGACGGAAAATATATGTAAAGAGTACATCTGGTAGGACTGTTATCAGGTCCCTCTATGTGATTAAAACGGCTAAAATCCAGAACACTGACAAAACCAAAATGCTGATGAGTATATAAAGCAACAGGGATACAAAGTAAGACAATTTGGAAGACAGTTTGGCAGTTTCTTGCAAAACTAAACAAAAATCACAATGATTTAGAAACTGTGCTCCTGACATCCACCCAAATAAAATGAAAAGTATGCCTACATAAAAACCTGCACACAGATGCTTACAGCAATTGTATTCATTATTATCAAAACTTGGATGCAACCAAGATGTCCTGCAACAAGTGAATAATCTGTAATACATCCCCAGACAACTATTTATTATTCAGCACATTAAAAAAAGAGAGAAAAGAAACCTTAAATCCATTACTACTGAATGAAAGGAGTCAATCTGAGATGGCTATACATGATTTTAACTATATGACAAACTGGGAAAGAGACAGTAATGAGCTTTCTGGTCAGAGAAGCTTGGAGACTTGAAAGAGATGAATGAGGGAGAGGATTTTTATAGGGCAATGAATGCAAATGCTCCTTCACATACATCCCAACAAACCCACTGGAAGCTGAAAATATTATAAATCAAGAAGGCATTTAATACATCAGGCCTACCAAGCATACTTTAACAACAAATACACTGTGCAGTATTTTCTTTTTCTACCTTCGTATTCACGTAGCTATTCATGTAAATACGGCTGTCAGAGGTCCGGCATACTGTTAGCTCAAAAAAAGGACAATTGGTTTGGTGGTGTGTGACTTTAATCACAGCCCTCAGGAGGCAGAGGCAGGTGGGTCTCTGAGATCCAGGTCAATCTAGACTACATATTGAGTTCCAGGCCAGCTGGGGCTACAGAGGGACCCTGTCTCAAAAAGACGGGGGGGGGGGGCTCCTAAAAGCATTCATTTAAGAATCCATTAAAACAACAGTGCACTAAAGCTCAAATCAAGTGAAATGTAGGGAAATTATGTAAAGAAAAAAAAAGACAAAAAGCCATAAGTCAGCTCTTCAGGAATGCCTGTAATTTCCCCCTAGATGATCTACAGTTACAATGCAATTTCAATCAAAACCCCAGCATGTAGTTTTTGAGAGAAACTGGCAGGCGGACTTGCAGATTTATCTGGAAACACAAGCACTTACAATAACTGAAACAATTTTCAAAAAGAATAAAGAACTTTTACATTACCTGATTTCAAAACCTACTGAAGAGCTATGGTAATCAAGGGAATTTAAGAACAGATAATATAGATCAATGGGACAGAATAAGAGTTAGAAATATATGTATCTACTGATGTACTTATGGGTCTGTATGTCCAAATGCATGTACTTTTGTATATAGTCACCTTCTGACAAAGTACCAAGGAATTTTATGGGAAAAAAATTTTTTTCCTCAGCACATGATGCTGGAACAACTGGATGAGTTTTAAAATAGAAAAACTTAACCTCAAACAATACATCACAACCTACACAAAAAATAATTCAAAATGGGATTTCTACAAGAAAATTTACAGGAAGCAAAGCAAATTTAACTCACAGCTATAGGTTCAAATGTGCCACCTCTGAAATGCATGTGAAACACTTAATCTCCAATGAAGTAATATTAAGAGGTGTGTTGCTTCTAGGAGTTGATTGGCATATGAAGGCTACACCCTCAAGAAGGGGATTAATGCCTTATAAGGGACCTAAAGAGAAGTAACCAAGATTCTTTTTGTGTCCCTTGGTCTGTTTCTGCCATGTGAGGGCATAGCATTTCCCCTCTTTGGAGGAGACAGCAACATGCTATCTATAATCTTGGAAGGAAACCAAGGCTTTCAGACACCAAACTTGCCAACACTCATAATGGACCACACACACTCCAAAACTGTGAGAAATAAATCTCTTGTTGTTTACAAATTACCTAATCTTAGGTGTTATTATATAAGGACATATAAGACACGATCCCAGAGTACATAAGGAATTCTAAGACCAAATAAGAGAAAAAAAGTTAATAAACTGGGTATATTAGTATTTAAAACTCCTGGTCTTC